TGGCCCAGTGCAGCAATAGGCAGAATGGAAACATGGAAAAGTGCATTTTTTGGTTTGGTTTTTGAGGTGGTAGAGAGTAAATCTAGGATCTCAGGCTCTACCACTGAGTTATATCTTCAATCCAAAAGTATGTGTTTGTAAAGTGGGCATATGCATAGTTTCAGATGAGAAAGGCTTTCCATGTCTATTTGGGGAGTGCAACTTGGCGGAGCTGTAAAATGCATAAGAAATACTAATAGCACCTGTACAGCATATTGAGTTTAATATTTGCATATACAGTATCCATGTAACCACCACCAGGTCGGGTGTAAACCAATTCTACCACACACCCCAAAATTGTCCTCATGACCATGACCCCTGCCAATCTCTCGCAGGGATCTCTCCCTTCTGTTAAAGGAAGAAGCTAACCTTCCTGACTGCTTAGCATCTGATTCCAGCGAACATTATGCGACTTACAAGTCCAGTTTAGTGAAGATTCAAACATGAGGGACTGGGCCCAAAGGTGGAGCACTTAACTGGACTGAGGACAGACAGCAACCCCAAATACTGGCTCCAGTGGGTTGTCAGGCTTGAGATAAAAGTACAGCTGTGGTGCTGGGGAAATAGCTCAGTAGAATAAGTGCTTGCCTGGCAAGTGCAAGGGCCTGAGTTCAAACCCCGGTTCTGCAAAAAAAAAAAAAAAAAAGTACAGCTCTGAGATTTACTTTTTAAAGCAGATAGAGCTTGTATCTTTTGTTCACTTTTTGTATTCCAAGCACCCAGAACATTGCCTGACATAGGAAGCATTCAATGAACAGTTTTTGCCTGAATGTAGATAAGTTGGGGTTCAAATTCCAGGAAGAGAATGGGGGTGATTTCTAGACAGAAGAGGTGTGGGGGTGGACGTCAGCATGAGGGGGATGGGGGGTACTTCAAATTAAGTCAGATGGGGCATGGACAGATGAACAAAGGCTCCTAAATAATCTTCAGGCTTAAGAGTTGGTGTTATGAGCAGCATAAATGGGTGAACTCACGTTAGAGGTCCCAGGGAGACGCACCTACAGGGGTAAAACAAGGAGTTAACCCAGAGCAAAGAAGTTAGAGCAGACATACATAGATCTAGTTGAAATGTTTGAAACATGAAGGTATTTTTATGCACAGGTTTTCCTAACAGGCAAGTAGAAGCCCTTAAAGAATTGGCAAGATAGGGTAAACCGAACTGCATATATTGCAGGTTAATAATTAGTTTCTCTTAGGCAGGGTTAACAACCTAAGTTAGCAGATCAAAATTGGAGAAAAGGAAGGGCTGCAAGGTCACCCAACATTTTGGCCCTAGCCTTTCAAGGTCAGTGAAGACTCGGGACATAGGAGAACCTGTACTGCAACA